CGTGAATATGTTGTGGATGCCTTAAATGTCTGAAGAAAGTTTTTTGAATTTAATATTTCCATTGTTTCCACTAGACCATAAGTTCCTTGAGGTGGCAGCTGTCTTTTGTTCCTCTTTTTATTCATTGTCTTTTCTATGTTCCCCCAGCCAAGCCCAGTGATTGCCAAATGCCCATTAGTAATTTAACAAATGCTGGTCGAATAAACAGATGCTAGTCCGTGAAGAGCTCTGGAGCTAGGCAGACCTAAGTTCAAATCGTAGCTTCACAGTTGATTAGCTGGGTGACTTTGGAATATTTCTTAACCTCTCTACACTTGAGTTAATTTCCTCACATATAGGGGTGTTGCAAGCATTAATGAGATAATGTGTGTCCTGTGACTCAGTGCATTGGAGATAGCTCTGACCTGCTTGAGAGCTGATTACACACACCTCAGCCTTTAAAAAATACATATAAATGTACATACATATATTAACGTAGGCATTCATGCCATATATTCCTATAGCATTGGGATTATACTTAATAAGATGACATCAACTTTAAGATAAAGTTGTTCTGTGCTTTCCTCATTGCAGATGTTGTCTCTACATAGTGACTGTTACTGAAAAAGACTATGATGAGTTTCATAATCTAGGAATACTAATGATAGGAAATTGGAAATAAGAATTTGAGAGACATTTCCCCTATCATCACAGTTCTCAGCACTACTGGCTTTACTGCCGCTGTAACTTATATTAAATTCGGTTTTAAAAATTTGTAAAAAGAAATCTAAAGTGGACTTAAGGAATGAGATAAACCAAAGGAATAATAAAATCCTGTTCAAATTCCTAAATGGTATTGATTTACTGAGTAGTAAAGGGAACCTGTAGAAGCAGATAGCATAATAATGATGATGACGACCATTTATTCATTCTCTTAAAAGTGCGCTGAGCGCTTTTCATGTTATCTGATTTCACCCTCATGCAGGCCTGTGAGGCACTGCTCTCTTACAGATGCAGGATGGAGAAGAGGGGAGGTCACATTCCTGAAGTAACCAGCTCTGCTGTGCTCCAGAGCGCTTCCATTTCTTCCTTTCTGTCTGACGTTTATAATGTTCCAGCTGGAGGCTCTGCAGCCTAGAACTGTTGGTATTTACGGTGTTCAAACATCCTTCGTAGTATTTTTTTCCTGCCCCAGACTATACTTGCACGTTCATTTAGAGCCCAAGGAATTACAGTTTTAAGGGAATCTATATCAGGCAAAAGAACAGCAGGCTTCCGGACCTGCAGTCACTGGGCTTGGACCACAACCCCTAGGACACCCCTGAGGTGTGGGGCAGAGGCCATTAAACTTATTTTTTTTATCAGCTCTCTCCTCAATGACCATCAGCAGCAGGGGTTGGCAAACTACGGCTCATGGACCAAATGCTCCTATTTTTGTGCAGCCCACAAGCCAAGAATGGTTTTTACATTTTATAATGGTTAAAAAAAAAATCAAAAGAAAAATACTTTGTGGCATGCGAAAATTATTTGAAATTCAGATTCCTGTGTCATTATTTATTGGACACTCATTCATTTGCACGTTACCTGTGGCAGCTTGTGTAGTACAACAGCTGAGTTAAGTAGTTTTAACAGGGACCGTGTGGCCTGCCAAGACTCAATACTTATTATCTGGTCATTTACAGAAGTTTGCCGACCCCTGAGCTACAGGATTAGGCCAATCCCTTGAAGCAACTTTCTAAGAAATATTACTCTTAAGTTCCCCAGCAATCCTTCTCACTCAAGATAAAGCACCTCAGTGTGCAGATTTGAATGCAACTAATTTTATTCATTTTTTTTCTCCCTAGTGGAATTTTTAAAATTGTCAGGTATAATCGCTTTAATCACTGTAGGACTGAATTTAGATTCCTTGAGCTTTAAACCGAGGATGGAGTTAATAATTACTAAGTAAGTCTCCTATTGTGTGCTTGCCATAGATCTCATAGAAATTTAGTGCTTAAGTGGTCCGCCACTTCCTGGACATGGATAAAACTCCCTCTTTATAACTTTTTTCTACCTTTTCTTTTTTAATTTTACTACCAGTTATATTTGAAAAAAAGGTGCCAACAATATTGACATTAATACTCCCATTCTGAATAATGTGCTAGTGATTCAGAGACTATAGTGTTTTTTTATGCATAACTTTTTGATAAAAATTGACTTTGAATTGTGGGAAGTTGTAGCAGAAAGACACAACTCCAGCAAAACTCTTAGCTACCCTTTATACCTGGTAAGGCAAAGTGTCATATGGAATCTCTGGACAGAGAAAAACCATTTGCCTGTCCACTCAGACAAATGAGTTAGCCTTTTTCTGAGAGACTGCAGAATTGTTTCAGAATTATTTCATACCAAATCATAGTCTGATGCAGAAAGTCTCACATTGTATACAAGCAAATGTTAAAATGAGAGAAGTAAGCCATCATCCTGAGTTTTCCCATGAAGATTCATTTCTTTATTTACAAAAAGATGTTTTTATTGATTTCAGAGAGAGGAGAGGGAGAGGGAGATAGAAACATCACTGATGAGTCATTGATTGGCTGCCTCCTGCATGCCCCCTCCTGGGGATCGAGCTGGCAGTCTGGGCATGTGCCCTGACTGGGAATTGAACCCTGACCTCCTAGTTCATGGGTTCCTGCTTAACCACTGAGCCACACTGGCTGCACAAGATTCATTTCTTTAATGTAAAAAACTGTACATTGTTCTGAAATTATGTCCTTCTTACTTTTTTGGTATTTTTATAGCTCTACTTGGCAAAATTTACAAAATTGAAACCTATGACTATACTAGTTTTGGGTATATGTGAAAGACACGTTATTGGTTTTTAAAGTCCAGAAGCTTGGGAATAATTAATTCATAGAACATATACTTTTTGTCTGAATTTGGCAGTTTCCTGAGCTTAATTGTGCTGTCTGTCAGCATTATTATAAATACATTTTTTAATACATATTTTTTATTGATTTCAGAGAGAGGAAGGGAGAGGGAGAGAGAGAGGCAGAAACATCAATGATGAGAGAGAGTCATTGATCGGCTGCCTCCTGCATGCCGCCAACTGGGGATTGAGCCCGCAACCCAGGCATGTGCCCTGCCCGGGAACTGAACAGTGACCTCCTGGTTCATAGGTCAATGCTCAACCGCTCATTCTCTTGATTCAATTGTTTATTCTTTCACCTATCCAACTAATCCTTGCTTAATGTCTACTCTGACCTGAACATTGGATCTGAGGTTTGGACTAGGAAAATAAGTCCCTTTTCCGAAGATACTCATTGTTAAGTGGTGGATGTGTTTATGTAAGAAATTAATAGTAAGTGTAAATAATGATATATTTATTGGGATCCGACTATATGTAAGGCATATTTTTAAGGTCCCATAGAGACATTTGAAAAAGTATTCTACTCAGTCAGTTATTCCATTTCTAAATTTTCAGAAAAATAAGCACTGGGGATTTGAGGTCCCACTCATACCCTTCCCTTCTAGAAGCTCTGAATAAGTTGAACCAAAAGATTGGATTCAGACAGAGGATCAGACTGTCTCCTTGATTGGAGTAAGGCTGGGTCAGAGCACATGGTTTATATCTGCAGCTAAAATGAGGCTTCCCAATGCTGTCTTCCAAGTGTGGATATTGAGACCTATATATAGGGAGGCTGGTTTGTGGGACCAGCAGTTCCCTACAGTTGCCATTCAGCTGAGGGTCCCAACAGAGGGTCCAAGGGGAGATGGGACCTGAGATCTGCCTTTGGAGGTCAGATCTGGCCCTGACCCAGGCGTGTGGAACCAGCCCGGCCCCAGGCCCTAACTTCTGTGCTCTGGTCTACTCAGTAAGAGTCTTTGAGAGCGGGCCTGGCATGTAGGTTTTTGCAGAGCAATCTGGGTGATCATGCTCTTCTCTGCTATGAATGGTGTAGATAATGGGAACTGTAGGGATCAGAGGAGGGTCACCTCCAGAGATGGTGCTTAGCATGGTTTTGTGAAAAGCACAGAAATAGAGTTAGCCTTGCAGGATTTTTAGAAATTCAGTAGATGGAAAAGCAGACAGGAGAGACTCTCAAGGTAAGGCACGTCTATGCAGATCACAGAGGGAGAAGCCATGCAGTGGGCACCGAGGTGATCCATGCAGCTCTCACAAAGTCGTAGTGAACCACGCGTAGCTGTGGCAGCCCCACAGTTGATGCCCTGCGAGCTAATCTCAGCAAAACTGCCACGTTCCCAAGCTGGGGGTGGGGTGTGGAGGGTAGGGGTCCTTGTTTTCCTGCCTTGCTCTTATTCTGCCATGAGAGGAAGCCCACAGGTGTTAGGGTGAGGAGGGTGATGGGGAATATGGAACTGGGAGTATTTTAGTTCCCATAAAATATTTTTGAATGCTGATTGTAACAGTGACAGAGGCAAGGACCTCTGCTAAGACAAGGATGGCAGATATGTGATACATGCTTTCATGTGAAAAGGAAGCTATTTTAAAAACACATTGCTTAAAAAGTGATTTCCTTTCCATTCATCCTAGGTTCCTAGTAATGCTTTCAACTGTATTCCAACAATTAATATACACTTTCTTTGGCATTATCCTTGGATGTGGAGAAACCAACTATTTTAAATTTCACACTCTAACTTTCACGTTAGTCTTATTTATAACATTGAATTTTGTAAGGTAAGAATTATATTTTAAAGTTCTCTTACTGGTCTTAGGTTCCCAAGGTCATAATAATGATTGGGAAGCAGTGGGTTCCAGCACAAAAGAGCTCTGGATGTGCAGTGAGGAAACCTGTGGTGTTGTCAAGGTCCTGGCAACAGCTTGCTGTGCCACAAGGCGTGTGTGTGTCTATTTACTTGTCAAGATTTCATCTGTAACATGAGAAGAGGCAGAACAGCAGCACCGCATAACCCAAGAGCTTGATAGAAATGCAAATTTATGGGCTCATCCCAATTTATTGAGTTGAATCTCTGGAGATGAGATTCAGAAAATTGTTTCAACATGGTAACGTCACAGCATCACTGGACCAGATTAATGGCTCCGAACATTTTTGTTGACTTTCATGATCATTTATTATCATCATAGCTGTGATAAAGCCACTTATTAAGCAGTTACCATGTACATCATGCCATTAATATTAATATAACCATATGAGGTAGGTGTTGTTTTGCCATTTCTCAGATGACACATAGAGAGATTGACTTGCTTAAGGTCACCCAACTTGTAAGGGCAGAGTTGGGATTTAAACTTGACCCCCCAGGCATGCTTTTTCTAGAATGCCATGGTCCTCTCGTGGTAGTTGTGTCTACCATGAGAATTTATGGCAGTGTCTTAGAAACACTGTTATTCCCATTCAGGATAGGCCTGGCCGAGGGTGCTCATTTTATAAGATGGTCTCATGGAACATGGCTTCTGCACGCAATGCAGATAGTCACTGTCACACAGAAGGATGTGGGTACAGCTCCCATTTCTCTCCACCATGGGAGCTCATGTGCAAGTTGAGATTGGTCAGAGAGCTGAGGAAAGACACATGGCTTTTTGCACATTGTTCGACTTAGCTTCACATCCACGATCTCATTTCATCTTCCTTACAGCACTAGGAGATAAGAATTATTATCTCTTTTATAGATGAAGACACTGACCAAGAAAGACAGAGTACCCTGCCCAGGGTCAAATGGGCAGTGAGCACCAGAGATATCATGGGAACTTAAGGTTCCACCTCACTAGAAGAAAGGCTTTAATAGAGAGAGTCATCTTATGGGGGGCTCCGTAAGAGACTTGTTGAAAAGAACATCTTGGAGGGGATGAGTCAGACTAAGGCCTGGACATAACGATCGTTGCTAACGTACTGAGTGCTGACCACATTCAAGATACTGTTCTAAGTGCTATGAATGTTGTTTCGTTTAATTGAACCTTCATAATCATGCTTTGAAGCCAGTACAATTATTATCATCATTTCCATTTTGCAGAAGAAGAAACTGAGGCTCAGAGAGGTTAAATAACTTGCTTAAGTTTACATAGTGAAAGAAGCCTACATTTGAACTCAGGTAGATCTACTCCAGAGCCTTTGCTATACTGCCTCTCTGCTTTTGTTATCAGGACACAATGTGTGTTGTTCTATTTTGGCTGGACTCACTGGTATTTTAGAGAAAGATTATTTAGTAAGGCTGAGAAGGTTGGTAAGAATTACTTTGCAAAAGGCTTAAATGCAAAGCAGAGGAGTTTGCCCAAATTAATTCTATACATTCTAGATGGTAATTGTAGATTTTCTGTTTCTCAGTGACAGGAACTCTCTAAATTGTCTTATGAAATTCCCAGCTCAGCAACAGATACACAATATATTTTTCGAGGCTGAGAACATGTCAGTGTTGTTTCTACCGAAACCTTGTTTGAAGGACAGTCCTGATATCCTTTTGGTGCAGATTCCCTAAAGATGGATTCCAAATTTTGGCACAGGGTCCTATAGAAAAATGATCTGTAGAGAAATAAGACACAAACTGAAATGATATAGGTGGCATTTAGTGTATGATTCCTGTGGGAACACAAGAAAAATGTGGTTGAGCTAAGTTTATTAATGTGTCTACAACAATTTTACTTTTTGGCCCCGATCTGCATGTCCTCTAGGCTAATTTCTGAATCCAGATATGGCCTTTCAGGGAATAGATGAGCTTGTTGATGTTATTTGAAGAAGCTTCCCTACAGGAATTTACTACAAAAATCGAAACAGAACACACCAGTGTAAATGAGAATTCCTTACGTTTGTACAGAACGTCTAGAGTTACTTTTCAAGATTTGAGTGTTATGTGCAAGATAGTAGATTTGGTTAGTTCCAGAAAGTTTTTGAACAACTCATCAATAAACTGGATTATCTTCTCTTTCCTGAAAAAGTTTATATGAAATTTAGTATTTAGTACATAGTTTCAAGCATGAATAACATTAATACATAAAGCGTGATTTTAAAAAAAAGTTTTTCTCTCCCCAGACTGTTTACTATTGTGTTAGTGAGCCCTATTCTGATGCGTTCGAGTTATGAATATAACTGGAGATGGGGAGTCGTGATAGCATGGTCTGGAATCAAAGGCGTTTTTAGCTTGCTCATGGCTCCTGAAATTTATAATATGGCTGAAAATAAATCAGTGTCACCATATACGGTAGGAAAAGTCATGTCTCATGATTATTCACATTTATTCATTTTTATTTATTTTGTAGCACTCGTCATGGTACCCAATAATAAAGTTAACCCTTTTTAAAATTAGGTTTGAAAAATGCATTCTTTTAAGTAGAAAGGGACCTGCAGAGGAAACTTTACTGATGTTGGCAATGTAAAGGGGAGCAGTAGTCAAATAAATATTATGGATGTGGGAGACAGAGGGCCTTGGGATTGAATCCTGGCTCCTCCATTCACATACTGAGTGACCTGGGTCAAGTCCCCTACCCTTGTGGCACCTCCATTTCCAGTTTAGGATTGAGATGATGCTTAGTAAAACACCTGACACTTAGTAAATGCTCAATAAATGTTGTTGAACATATAAAAGCTATTGCTTAATAGCTGTCAGAAAGCATAAAAAATACCGTCTAGAGCATTCCAATCCCTATAGCCATTAGAACAAAACTTGAAACGCTAGTTAAATATATACTAGGGGCAGAAAGATTTTTAAAATGTTTGAATCTAGTTTTATTTATGTCTTTAGGGCTAATTTTTATAAATTAATTTCTTGAAAATTTTTGGCTGAAGACATTATCTACATAGAGAAAAAAAAACTTGGCTTCCTTTCCACTCTCTCTCAAAGCCCTTTCCCCATGGGCTAGCTAGCTGGTGGGCAACCTGGTGGTGGCAGCATCTGTGGTAGTGATACCCCAGGGAAGACTGAAAGATTCTAGTGCACCTGCTGACAGCATTAGGGCACCTCATCACTTGTGACAGTACTGTGTGAGCTAGCTGGAGAAGTTGCTAGAAGGTTCTAGAAATCCCTGGAGCTGCCTGCTGTTGCTGGGGTCTCTCCCCCACCCAGTCTCTGATGGCTCCCAACTTGTCGGCTTTCGTGGCTGCTGTCTCTCAGGGTTCCTGTCTCTCCCCGAAACTACGAAATCTCTTGTCTTCTCACTCAGATTGAAAGCTAATTTCTGCCCTAGTATATTGCACTCAAGCAGTGCTCACAAAACAACGCTTTGGCTCAATTTACTTATCAGAGGCGGGATTAAAAAATGTGGATTAAGATAGAATTTTGTTGGTGGTTAATTGAACAATGATTCCCTTTGGAGAACTTACTAATATTTTGGCTCTAACTATTTGTGTGTCTTGTTTCTTTTAGTTTATATTTTATGTGCAAGTAATATCGTTAATGACCATGGGAATAAACTCGTACATGATGCTTCATTTAGCCAGGAAATTAGGTGACGTATGTCTATCTTTCATTAATTAATCGGGGATAATAATGTAAATAGATTGTTGTTGGGGCTTGTAGGGACAGTTTTAAGGAGCTCAAGGAATGGTTATGAAATCATTTTCTTTCACTTATTATTTATAGATTCTGTATTAATGGAGATATTGGTTCAGCCAGTTTAACAGACACCATATTAAACAGGGGCTTAAACAAGACAAAGCCCCCCCTCCCTGCCACCCCTGCCACTGAAAAGTCCAAAAAAAAAAAAGTGGGCTGGTTCTGCCCCAGGAGGTTGTTCAGAGATCCAGGATGTTTCCCTTTTGTTGCTTCTTTCCTCCCTGGGGTTTTGCTCTTGTCTGCAGGGTGGAAGCTGGTTCACTACCTCTATCTTCAATCCAATCAACTGGACAGGGAAAATGGGGGTGAGGGTGGGGGTGGGGTGGCAGCGGAGGCTAAGCAGCTTCTTTTTAAGGGCACGATCCAGAAGTTACATATATATCATTACCACTCACATTCCACTGGCCAGGACTTAGTCACGTGGGCAGGGGAAGCTGGGACATAGTGTCTACACCTGGCTGGCTGTGTGCTCAGCCAAAGCGCAGAGATTCTGCTGGTGAAGGAAGAAGAGACATTAGCCACACAGGCCAGTAGGGCAGGAGCCATCACAGACGGGTGGGGGAGAGACCCCAGCCACAGCGGGCAGTGGCGATATTTGAACACAACCGATAGGCTCTGTCACAGTTGCCTGTTTCTGGGAGAACTTTGAGGCTGTTGATAATCAAATGCATAAATGTGCCAGAATCCAGGATGAGATAATTGGGGCAGTGGGGTCAGGTGGGAGGGAGAGAGCCGGGTAGGATCACACCCAGCCTTAGAGGAGGGCCTCGGCGCCGCCCAGCAGCCCGCGGCCCTGTCCTCGGCCCACTGGTGCAGAGAGCTGATCCGACTGCTGCAGATTCAGTACGCTGCTCTCCCCGGAGACTAGGGATGAAGCAGATGACCCACTCATCGGCTTATACGGAGATAATTTCCATCATTATTCAGGGTATTCACCTCTAAATACCAATTTCCTTGATAAACCACGTTAGTAATCAGGAGGTTTCAGGGACAGCGCGGAGCTAAAGAGAGAGATCATCTTCGACGTGGAGTTCATTCAGACTCACTGCTGCCACTCAGTGGTCCGCGGATTCTCCCGCCGCCCAGAGCAGCTTTTCCAGATGGGCTGCTGCGCCATCATGTGGGGAGGATGTAGTTAGGCACATGGATAAACTTGCCTTGCGTGGTCTCAGCCAGGGGGATTTTAAATCCAAAGCTGACACCTTCTAACCATAGTCAGATGCACCTTTGTTCGGCACCATAGAGAAATGAGAGGGATATGCCTCCAGACCTTTTTGAATCCCCAGAATTTCAAACGCTACTGTTGCCCACAGCGCCCACAGAGAAGGCAATGAAAGTTAAACTGAAACATTGGGAAACCATTTTAATCCTTTACGAGACATTTCAGATGCAATTAGGAAGAAAGAGCGGTTTCATTGAGGCTGAACTTCGAGCCACTAGGCTAAGCTCACTAATTACATTCATCATTTTGGTAAGTGAGCTTCATACCTATAACTTCATGTTCGTACCTAAAGAAAATACAAGCTGCTACAAGTTTTGGACATGTAGGTGTGCTGGCCAGGAAGCAGATATTAAATCTGAGAGATCTCTATTGTAAAGTGGCCATTGAATTTTATTACGGATAAGAATCAGTTGGAGAACTTGTTAAAATGCAAATTCCCAGGCCAGTGGGCTTCTGTAGGTATGGAACGGAGTCCAGGAACTTGCAGGGTTTAATAAGCAGCCCTCTACCTGTGGAAGACACAGGGAGCTCTCCACACTTTGAGAAACACCCACTGGGTGCCCTGAAATAGTCATGTCTCTAGCTATAGGGCATGAAAGGAAACTAATAAAACATTTGTTAGCAGTTGAGTCAGATAAAGTTAAGCCGTACAGCCAAAAGGAAACAGAGAGTTGGGTAACTTTCTGGACAAAATGTTGTCTTTGCCTTAAGTTATGCAGGTGATGCTACATCCTGGGACAGTTTTGCTTCCCCTTGCAGTCTGCGGTGCATTTTATCAAGGCCCTTGCTTTTCTCTGTTACAGGTTTGTGTGCTATTTCTCTTCCAAGACAGATGGCGATGCAAAATGCCATTAACCACATACAGGAGATAATACAGAACACAATAACCTTATTTAAAACAGAGAAACTGTTGACAAATGTTAATTGGACCTTAGTAGAAGAAAAATCAAGGATTAAATACATAATTCGTGTGAGTTTGATGCCTGGCACACACAAAAAAAGTTTTTTGCTTGGTTTTGTTTTGTTTTTTTCACCCTCCCTGGGTCTGCCTCTCTTGCTCCTGTTTATTATAAGAAACTTGATTCTGCTAATTAAAT